AGCTCCTCAGCCACTGTGGGCAGCCCACAATTTCTGTGGCTTTGGATTCCTTGCCCAAGAACAGACCCAAAGAGGCACCATGGTGTAGGTGGGTGGCTGGAGCAGAGACCCCCGACAGAGCTCTCTCCTGGGAAATACTTTCAAGTAGCCTGGCAGGGTGTGCAAACCCTTCTCCTAACTCCCCAACATGCTGTATGTCTCAGTGACTCCTCTTTAGGGAGATTCTGAAGGCAGAGTCAGGCCCATCTATTCTCTACTTGAACTGGGTACCAAGGTGACATATCTGCCTGGCTTTCTAGATGGGACTTCACCTCACTCCGGGATAGTGAGATGCAGCAGCCCTGGGCTGAAACCAGGCAGGGCAACAGATCCCATCTTTTCCCAGTGCCCCTCTGGGTCAGGACTTCAGGCCCATCCTGGCCATCATCTCTTCATAGACTGTCCATGCCATGGCAGCCATCAGCGTCCTGCGGAGGGCCCGGGGGACACCGCCTTGGAAGAAGCCACGCAGCCCATAGTCCTAGGAGGGAAACAAATGTCAAAACTCTAAGTAGCAATATAATTATATACTGTGCTACTCCATTTTTGAGTCTTATTTTTAGACATTTATAAATAATGTCAAAACTATGACTAATGGGTCCAAGACTATAAACTTTAAAAACAATTTTGCACAGTTGCTAAACTGGATCTTTCTAAGCTACTCTATGCAGGGGGATTTATTTCTCAGCTGTACAGGTGGACAGCTTGTGCAGAGCACAGACGCACCAGGCCCCAAGTGGCAGCTGAAATCCAGACCAAGGTCTGCTGGCCCAGCTTAGGGCCCTTGCTCCAGGTTAAAGGAAAAGGTGCCTTTTTGGCAATTTCTCTGCCTAGGGAGGAATTTTTTTCTTCCTTTTTTTTTTTTTGGTAATTCACTATATTCTTGGTGACCCTATATAAGAATTAAAGACAAAACACCTCTTTTTCTTCCCTCATAATCTAGATTGATTGGTTCATTCTGATTGTTCATACCTGCCATTTTCACATATACTGAAGAATGTTTCAAACTTTATGATTTTAGGTACAGAAAAAAAAGCAAGCAACCTAAGCAGTGCGAGGACATGATGAGATTCATAAATATCCGCTTATATCTCAGTGGAACAGTACTTGATGCATATGCTTACATGTTTCTGCTACTGCAAGAAAAATTGAGAAGTACGGGAAAATCTAAAGATATAGGTGGCAAATTTACTGTGAACAAGAGTAACTGTTGGGTGATAACAGCACGTTTCCCAAGGGCCAACTCAGTGGCTTTTAAGTAGTCCCTCAGTGCACTTTACATCTACTGTGTTTATCTTCAGTAACACCCTTTGTATGAGAGCAAACTGCTAGAAACCAATGTGTTTGTGGGTTTTTTCTTTGTCTTGCATCCTTGATCAGATCCTTGGGTCCCCCAGATGGCCCAATTCAACAGGTCCGGGGTAGAACCCAACAATCTATATGCCTAACAAATACTACAGGTTGTCCTATTGTAGGTCTCCCACCCCAAAAAACCCAACCGCTGCTTTTCAGCAGTGGTTCTCAAACTTGGGAACACAATGGAACCACTCGGGAACTTAAAATGCTTATACCTGGGTTGTGACCTAGGAATGGGGATTTTTTAAAGCTCCCAGGTGATTCTATTATGTAAAGCAGGGGTAGGCAACATCCAGCCCGTGAAATCACTTTGTCTAGCCCTGCTAAGGCAACCACAGGAGGGACATGAAATTCATTAAATCTAGGAGCTTTTTTCACAGCTAATTTTTAAGTTGATAATTTTGTATGGCCTGCGAATGATGTTATAAATATCCAAATGGCCCTTGGCAGAAAAAAGTTTCCCCATCCCTGGTGTAAAGGCTAAGAGCTACCACTACTTAGAGGGAGAGCCTTACCACAGTAAGAATAAATATTTATTCTGTTGCCTTACCTTGAAGATGACTGTCACAGCCTGGCCAATCCACCGAAATTTCATTGGGGAGAGCTGCATATGGGTTTTGATAACATCTGCGGGCTGCGTCACCAGTGAGGCCAGAATACCAGCAAATATCCCACAGCTGAAATGTACAACGGGGACGAGGGCTGCGTCCAACTGGTCTGAAACAGGATGCAGGTAACGCTCAGTTATAATTGAATCTCACTCATCAGACAGATATCAATGCCAAGTTGCCTACTAGTTCTTCCCCAAAGCCAGAAGGGGAAGAGTTAAGAGCTTAAAATTTTAAAGGTATAATTAATAAATGTAGATGGAATAATGGACTGAAAATTTCACCTTTTTATAACCATCAGATAATTGATTCAAGCAAGAACCAATGACTGATGCTGAAACATATGGATGAAAGGAACAGGAAGTTTTATATGGGTTTACGTAGATTCAAAGTATCTCCCCACAGAGATACTTACAAATTACAAAAGAAAACAGAAATTGAGTTTTCATATCCACATGATAAAGTTAACATCACCTACAATGAGTCAGACTGATGTCATGAACTTCCTGATGTAAGACACTGGGGACACACTGTCACTTATGTGGTCCTCCTGCAATCTTAGAATCAGGCAAATTTAGGAAGTATTCCTGCAGGACCTATGTAAAAGTGCTTAATTTCACCCCCCCCCGCCCCCCACTCAAGAATCACAGTACATCCCTTTCCAAAGGCTACACTTAAAAGACGGGCCATGTCTGTGATGCCCACTGCAGCCCAATGCCCGGCCCTTACCCACCACAATGCCCAGGTCGGTTCCTAAAACTCTGCTAAGGATCTGGGGCTGCTAAGAGAAACAAATAGTCACAGAGAAGTGCTGAGAATGCGTCTCGGGAGATCTCTTCCCCACCACACCTTTCTTCATCCATACCATGGGGCACGATGGTTTTGGTCTGGTTGTAAAACATTAGGTAGATTCCAGAAAAGGGAGCATCACGAAGGAGTGTCGCTGTCAGGCCACTGAAGAGGCCCCGGTGCCCTTCACTGCGATAGATGCTCCTCAGGGCTGCGTAGATGCTCTCATAGCCATACCTTCCACTCTGCAAAGGAAGCACAGAACCAGGGGTTCGCAGGGCCACCCTGGGTTTGAGCAGTGAAGCAAGCCAACTTCAGGGTGGGTGGCGTTACCAGGGCACTGGGCTGTGGTTCACACGTGGCTTGGCCTGCACACACAAATGGGTACTCTGGCCACATCAGCCTTTATGTTAGATTATAAATTGGGAGGTGACATCAGTGGCCACTTGATTCAAGAGCCCAACGCCTCTGTTTACCCACCCCGAGGGCCTAGAGTAGTCAAACTCACCTCGTACCGTGTCTTGATCACAGTGATGGGCAACATGCAGACCCCTGCAACTGAACGAGAGCCCACCCCCAGCATGACTGACTCCATGGCAGTGGGAGGATGGCCTCGCAGGAAGTACTGCTTCAGAGAGTACAGAGTGCCAAAGTAGATGCCAACGCCAGGGACACACCTCACAATGGACTGCGGCGAAGGGGGTACAGAGTTGGAGGAGAGAAATCAAAGACCCGCATTATAAGATATTGTCTTAGCTGGGTTTTCCCAAAGGACCCAGCATTTGCATGCAAGTAGTTGGGGGGGAACACCAACAGGGGACAGGAAGGCGGCCAGCAGGGGGTGTGATCCAATCAGTCACTCCCGTGGGCAACCTAATCCCTTTGGGGAACTCTGCACAAGGGTGGAGGGTGTGCCTGAGAGCTATCCCGCCACCTGCGAAGGGGAGCAAGGTGTAAGATGCACTAACAAGTCAGGCCGCGTTAGTGTCCAGCTATCCACCCCCCAGGAGTCAGCAACAGCATGAGACAGGCAGCAAGACCACACAGGCCCTCCCGCCACTTCCTACGCTCACGTTTGCTGAGGGGATACTGGGGTAGATGAGAAATGGCTAGTTACAGGAGAGGGTGCAAGAGAAGAGCCAAAGGGCAGCTTACAGGGGACATCCCTTTCCACAGGCCCAAAAGACTCTCAGTGCGGACCACCTGCAGGAGCAGAGCCAGCATCCCCACGCGTCTGGACCTGAGGGCAGACAACAGGGAGGCAGGGAGGGAAGTCACTCAGCTGGCGTCCTCATAAGGAAACTGCCCGCTCAAAGACTCCGTGTGGACTCTTCCCGGAACACTTAAGAATTCACAATGTGCATCGCAATGGAGTTCTTATGTGTCATGGTTTGACACTTACATGTTTATCTGTCCATTTATACTACAAGCAATGGGATAACCTGTTTTATAGCCTTCCATTTTACATATATTTTGTATATTTCCCACAGTGCCGAACCCAGCATGGGGAACACAAAAAAGACAATACTCGCGGCACAGGTATGACATTATGGACTAGCACAAAAAATGCAAATGTCACCGAGGGAGATCCCAGGAAGCTGCTCAGGGAAGGACCCCATCCAATTAACATTAAGTTACATTAATTACACTAACTAATGTAAACCCAGGAAAGTTGGGCCTGGCCTGTGTCCTGGTGAGCAGCGAACAGAATGGAGGCTGACACCACCATACAGAACCTCCTATGTGGGAGAGAAGTTGCTGAGACCAGCTCCTCAAGGAAATGGGGGCAGCAGGCCTTACCCATGGGCTGAGGGCTGCAGAGTCTGCAGGCGTGTTTTGAGGAGATCCAGGGGCTGGAAAAGAAGGGTAGAGCAGGTGCCACTGATGGAGCCACACAGGAAAGCCTTGATCACCGGGTGCAGCTGCAGGACAAGAGAACGCGGTGAGCAGCACCGCCACAGGCCTCACCGGTGAAGGATCGTCTAGAAGCTCACCTGGCAGTGCCCTGTATAAGCTTCAGACTTTGGAGGAGGGAAAAGCACAGCTGGAGTGAACAGGGCTGCAAGGTCTCTGAGAGCACAATGCACTTCAGGGGGAGCTCTCTGGTCTCGGTATTGATTATAACTTTGTTCCTACTGAGCAACACGTCTATTTCACCTGTGAATTATGCCACCAACCACGCCTCTCTAGGCCACAATAAAAGTTATTGCCCATCTCCTTATAGTCACAAAAGCAAAACCAACTGAACACAGTATTTGGACTCTGAATGGCTGGTTTCCAGGCTCCCTTGGTGATAGGACCAGTAGATATTTATAGGAACAAGACAAAGGAAATGAAACCTTAAGCTGCACCACGATGTAAGACATGGGCAACTTCCTGTGAAACCTATGAATTTCCTTAATTTAAAACTTTCCCCCTCTCATACACCCACCCATCTCTCTGAGGCCTAAGCAGCTTGCAGAAGGTGCTATGGACCAGTGGCCTTTCCTGTTTTGCTGGCTCTCCTGTAAGCCAGGACAGGCACTCACACCGGTGAATTCAGAGGCACCACTCAGAAGGGCAGGACTCCATCAAAAATTAATGTTCTCCCCCAGGCAAGCTCCAGAGCCCTCACAGCATGCCCATCTAGCTTTAACACTACTAATCCAGCCTGGATCTGATCACACATGGTGTGAAAGGCACTTTAAAAAATCCACCCAGGGATCATCCATTTGTTTCTCCATCAGGAAGGATGCTGGTGTTAAGGCAAATATGACTACCATACCTTCCAGAGCTTTGAGAAAACCTCAGATGAGTGGCCTTCTGGCCAACCATCTGCGATTTCATATTGTTGGAGCAATCTTTGTATCCCTGGGGTTGCAGTTTTCTGTAAGTTTGCTGTGGCTCCACCAAGAAAGAAGGCATATGTGCAGATTTCTATAGGAATTATGATTCCATGAAAGACTCTGAGAAGATGAGGAAAGCTGACATCTTTCAGGGTGTAAAGTGACTTTGGAATGTCAAGGATTCCTTTGGGCTGTGTTCCATGGAAGTTTGTCACTGACCTGTGTTCCTGAACTTTGAAACATGCACATTCCAGCTAAGGAATAGCTTCTCTTGATGAAAGAACAATTAAGAAATATTGTGGGGGGGCGGGATTCCAATCAAGGAAGAAAGTCTTCTCCAAAGGCAGACACTTGGCAAGTTCTACTCAAAAAGACCTCTCTCCTCCTTTTTAAAAAATATATATTTATTTTTAGAGAGGGAGAGAGAGAGATAGAAACATTGGATGAGAGAAACATCAATTAGCTGCCTCCTGCACGCCTCCAATGGGGATAGAGCCCACCTATGCCCTGACCTGGAATCGAACTGGTGACTTCTTTGTGTATGGGATGGTGCTCAATCCATTGAGCCACACCAGCCGAACTCCCCTCATTAATTTAAAATAAAGGACATACTCTGGTTCTAAAACACTATTAAGATGAATATAAAGTTGCCTTTATACATGTCATGTAACCAAAATGATTGTAACCTGTGATATTTGTTTCCCAGAGAAGAAAGCTTTCTACATTCCACCAAAAGAGCAAGTCTCGTTATAACTGGAATTTCTGCTGGGGAAAGGACTAGATAGGTTCAGGTAATAAATACCAGCTCTTATAACCATGTTCAGGTAGCTTGTAAAAGTATCAAAGGGTGGTAGAATTGGTAAGACAGCAAGTGAAACTGAGCAAAATGTGTACTTCCACAGGTGTGGGTCGGTGCACAAAGCCCCTACCCAAGGAGAGGTGTCCTTCTCCTTCTGCTAACACATATCCCCACAAGTGTTGTTTTTCTCGGACTCCTGGAGACTTCCTAGCACCAGTGAGCCCTTCTTTACTGCACTCGGCCTCTCTCTTCCAGTGGCACCCTGCCTTTGCCCCAGCTTCCAGCCCAAGGGCAGGCCTTCTCCTACCCCTCTGTGATCTTCACTCCTCAGGACCCCAGCATCACTTGCCATCCAGGTTGGCTTCCCCACCAAGCGGCCCTCGTGATGGCCAAGGCCCAGCTGCATCCCAGGACCCCTTTCCCGTCTTTATCACTCTCTTACTTGGCCTCTCTGGTGCATCTGGGCCAGCTGACGGCCTCCCTTCTCAGGTTTGGGTTCTCTCTCCTCTCCCTGCGGCCCGGCTAGGTCTCCTTGCCCTGGGTCTGCCTGCAGATGGTGCCGTTTCGCTTATCTCCTCCAGCTGCAGCCTCTCAGCCCACACCCACCTCGCCCACAGGCGGGCAACGCCCACCCCTCCTGCCCGGGACAGCCGCTATTCCCAGCCTCCTCCACCTCCCACTGGCACACGGGCATCTCAGACTCAACACTCCACAGCGAAACTCAGTCAACGGTTCCCACACTCTTGCCTCCTCTCCAATGCACTGGCGCAGCCACGGGAAATTTGGGAGACGCGTGACTCCTCAGTCTACCTCCTGCTTCATGGCCAAGTCCTGCGGATGACCCCTCGCCAGAGTCTGCCCCCATCGACCCATCCTAGTGGCCTCCTCGGTGGTCTCCAGCCCTAACTGTGCCAACCCACCCTCCACTGGGCTCCCAGAGCAGCACTGGGCAAGGCACCTATACCCACCACCTCAAGAATCTCACAACGCTCTTGAGAGCTAGGTATTTAAACCCATTTTACAACTGAAACTAGAGCTCACACAGGTTACAAATGTGTCCTAAGTCCCAGGGTTTCAAGCTATTGGCCGGGTCTCAAAGCCATTTCTACATCCCTTTAAAAAAAATAAATCCTAAATCCAATTCAATCGTAAATCCAATACATCTCGGGGAGAGGGATTGGGGGCCCAGAAAGAGAAATCGGTAAACACGTTTTTTCAAAGATGTAAGGATTAAAGCAACAACAACAAAAACAAAAATATGTACACCCCGCACCCAGCGAAAGTGGCTCGGAAGAGGCTTTGCAGGGAGAGGGGCTGCGGGCCCGGGACCGCCCGGGGCAAGGCCAAG